AGTAAAACGTTTTCCTTTGAACTAAAAAGTCGATACTCCGCAAAAAAATCCAAAAAATGACAAAAACCTAACCTGTTTTATTAATAATTATAAACTGTTCAGTAAATTCCATTTAAAAATATAGTTTTGAACTTTTGAAATGTACATGTGTGACATCAAGCACTGTTTGAATGTATTGAAGCTTACAAGAATTTTCATATTTTATAGTATTTTAACAGGTATAAAACCGGTTATCAAAGGTAAAATGTAAGTACAAGGTAATATAGACAATTTACTGAAACACCTACTTCAAAACGATACTGCGTCGTGACGTGCTGATGACTTTACATAGTGATTCAAATTTAAAGTGTCAACTGAACTAAACCAACAAAAAGTGATATTGGCAGTTAAAAGTACATATTTTTTATGTTTGGGCAAGCTTTAACAGTTTTTTAATTATAGTGTTTTTTATTTGATGTATATTAAAATAAAACGTTAATTGATTCCCTAATAGAATTTATTTGATGTTAATGTATCGAACACAAGAGGGCCTGTATATTATATTTTTAAAATGTATGTATTGTTTTAGGTACAAGATAAAATAGAATTGTTAGATAATTAAATTAATAATATTTGTATACCTAATAACATTTCCAGGTATGAAAAATAAAATAAAATAGTATACAATTTCTATAAATCAATTGTATCGAAATATATCAGGTATATGTGTTTATGGTTAAATGAATGAAACTGATAGTGTATGCATGCTAATAGCTATCAAAGGTCAGTATTACTTTTAATGAGCAATTTATAAGATATAAATTATATAACTGTGTTAATAACCATAGTCTGTGTTTGTGTATGTATACTATTTATCTAGATTCTTCGATTTCAAATGGGACAAGTCATGTTTATTTTATAAAAAGCTTTAAGCCGCAAAATAATATAATTTTGCTATAGTTCAGTAGTTGCTATAGTTTAGTAGGGTTTATATAATCTATAGTCGATAGTGTAACGAGCCTACCTGTAACAATAGTATAATTTTTTAATATTCATTCGGATTTTACTGTCGTTAAAAAAATATACACTATACATACGTTAAGTGTTACTAAAATCATATTTTGAATTTTAATAATGTTGAAACATCAGTTAAATTGTATAAAGTGATCAATCAAAAATTATTTAATAATAGTGTGTTTTTAAACACAATTTTCATTTTTTTAACGAAATATAATATATTTTTTAATGTTTATTTGTTTTTTTTTGTTCCAGTTTTTACTAATAATTTTATTTTGAAATCTGTACGGTTAAAATACACTTTACCTTTGTGGTCACTTGGTGGCCTTCTATTATTTCAAATTGTTTAACTTTATAACACTGCCAATAGCAATTAACACACATCTCAAGCAATGCACACACAAAACACAATAACAAAATACTAAATCCCTGTTTATCTTAAGTACTTAACAATAACTTACAATAACAATATGCTTGTACATTATTGTTTGTTTCGAAACGAAACTATGAAAAGGTATTGGTTTTATACACGTACAGAAACCACTGGACCGAATAATTTGTTTATACGGTTTATTGAACAAAAATGGTTTTTAGTCAATAATTTAGCAGGCCAAAAGTTAACTAAGTACCCTCTTCCTTTTTTTTAGAATTGAGAGTGAATCGCTTTAAAATTAACAGATTTCCAAGAAAATTATCTCGTCATGCTCTGAATACTACTTAACAAATTAAAGTAACAAAAAATAGCTTGAATGTGTACCGAAATGTTAAATAAAAAAAGTATGTAAATTCAATATATTATATATATTTATAATAGCACGATAAAATCATAATTTTTAAAAACCAATAAACAAACAATTTTAAAGCAATTTTACGATAAGCTTATTGATGCGTCAATATTATGTAGAGGTGATGATGATGACTATTAAAGTTAGAACCACACACCATTAAGTTTTTTAATGCCGTGTTTTTTTTAACCGGGTCGTTACTACAAACGATGATACATTATAATAGTTTTCAGTAGGAAACAGTGTGCAGTACATCAGAATTCCAACTTTACAGCGAGTTTATATTTAAACTATTAAACTTAGGTAGTTGGTTATTATGTATTATTGAGGCTGATGGAGCAGGATTGTTTTACGTTGAACTAACTCATTCCATACCAACGTAGAATATTTCGGTGTACTCGTTTAATAAGTTTTGTTTATCCGAATACACGATATACTGTCAAAACGGTTTTACAAAAAAAAAAATGGATAGATGGGGGGGGGGGAGGAAAGGAGAAAATGGTTTGTGTATTATTTTGTCGGACGACGTAAGAACAATATGAAATCGCCGGACGAAAAATTTAATAAGCTCTAAGTGCCCAAACAGTGAAAACGCAATATAACAAATAATAGAAAATTCTTTCCGGACCGGCGATGCTGTAATTGTTCAATTTTTCCAGACGGAGAAACGTCAACCGCGGATTAAATCGTGGGATTTTCCAAAAAAAAAAACCTAACCAGGCCGGCCGTATTAAGTAGGGACTCGTGTGGCGACTCGCTTTTAAAAGCCGCTATAAGTGCAATGTCCGGTATCGCGGACACGCCAATACTGTAAAAGCACTGCGATAATGTTTTTAGCACACGAATAAAAGAGACCCCATTCCGCGCGGGGCCATTTTTGGCCGGTAGTTGCGTTACGGAAAAATTCACAGGGGGGGGGGCTCTAACCCCGGCGGCCGCCGGGTGGGTTTTGAAAAAAAGTACCTCCCCTCATAATGCAAGAGTCCCGCTGTTATTGGCGGCGGAACAACTTATAGCGTCCGACCGGTAGAATGCTAATGCTAATGTTATAGGACAACGCCGTAATTAATCACAAGTTTATCCCAAAGGCGATAATAAATAGATGAAAAAATCTCAAAACGAAAAAACCAATCTGTGAAAGATAAGTATCCAAAATTGTATTCGCACAAATGTGTTACCTATCTGATGATGCCGTGCCTGAAATCCCAATACATATCAGTTTATTAAAATTACCACAATAATTAACAGTTGGTTGAGTTTTCATTTGACAAATTAATCATTAGTTAATAAGTAAATTATTTAATTAACTTTTTATTATTTATGTTTAAAATGTTAAAACTAGATGTAAATAATTTATAATTTTTCAGTTTTTTCCTTTTAAAATTATAAGCGGGGGGGGGGGGGCTGTGTTCATCTAGTCGATAGTTGAATAATTCAAAAAATTTCTTTTAAATTAGTCAAATACATGTCTCAAATATTGTACGACTTGTAAAAAACCCGTACTGAAGTAATCAAGTTTTACCTTAAACTAAATCTCATAATTTTCTAATTTAATTAAATACTTTTAAATCTATAATAAATCCATAATACGATGATAATTTTTTCCAATGTATTATATTGTATAATAAGCTTGCAATTGATTATTTCGGGACAATTTGAGTTTATTTACTTGTAGGGCCGAGCTATTTTATAACAGAAAAATAAATCAGTAGCCTATTGTTTTCCATTCGTCATTCACTATGTTCGTAAAAATGATAAAACTCAACAACGAGAGGGTTTGTGTAGAGCTTAACTTCTTCCAACCACCGTGAATGTATTTTAACTACCAATCCCGTCGAATAATAATAAACTGCAATTGTTTAAACCACCGTAACAATGTAATGCTAAAGTGACATCATGTAAAAAAAAATCTATTTGTTTTCTAAATCCGCAAAAAACAAGTAATTTAAAGGATATTGTTCACTGACCTAGTATCCTCTTCTCCATTCGTTATACAAATCCTGGTTACGGCACCGGACGGGTCCTGCTGGGAATTCGTGGTCGAGTGTTCACTTGAAAAGGGTATTAGTCATTGAGACTAGATTTTTTAAAACAACAAAAAACGTACAAAAAGAAAATATATAAAAGAATGGTATTATTGTTTATACCCCTGTGGTTTTCGCAAAGTGCAAACTAATATAATAACACATTTTTTTTTTTGTATATTTTCAAAAGTTTTCTTGCTTAAGAAACTTAGAAAAACTTGTACAAAATATTACTTACTCTCTAACTATGAACTACATGATGTAAAATTGTTTATTTTCTTTTTTAGGAGTATTTTATTTTTAAAAATTGGTGGACTGAGTTATCGAAAATTTAAAAACGCACAGATAAAATTCCCTACTAGGTATATACTGCGAATATTTAGTGATTTTATAACAATTCGGAAAAAAAATTAGTCAGTTAAAAAAAAAAAAACACTGGTTTGGATTGGCGGAAAACTATTTTGATGGAAAAAAATGGTAATTTTCCAACAGCCAAAACATAATTTCTATTAGTGTCATTAATGGTAATACACGCTCTAGTTGAGATTTTGTGAAAAATTGTCAATACAACACTGCTCAATAAATGAGTGGGCAGCGACCACCTAAACACACATTTTCAATGAACATGTGACCTCCGCGATCGCGTGTATTGACCTTTGTTTTTTCACGCGATTCCACTAAACGTGTCGGCAAACGTCTAATTAACAACACAACACGCATTGGAGTCTCGCCCGTGTAAACACTTTGACGGTCAATTAAACGTTGTTTAGTCGTTATCAAAATGGTATAAAAAAATAAAATAATAATAATTAAAAAAAAAATTAAACGAAAAACTAAAATATAATATATATATGAAAAACTAATATCATATCGTACCGAACACGTAATATAAATAGGCTGCGTTATCATACATAGGGGGCCCGGACCGTCCGCGATATTATGTTGTACATTTATTATTATTATTAAATAATCCTCGTCATCTCCATGCCAAGAAGTCGTTGCGGGCGATTTTTTATTTTATTTTTTTAACATATTTATATATATATATATTTTTTTTTTTACTCATAATATACTTTCACCGCGATTCGCATTGGCGCGACCGCCGGCAACACGCCGCAGCAGCCGCCGCCGCCGCCGCCGTAGACACCACGGCCGCGTGTTGGCCGCCGTATCGGTTTAACGTGTTGTTGGCGTCTGTCATTCGCGGCCGGCAGACGTTCGCCACTGTCCGCCGTCGTCCGAACGCGTTTCGCGCGGACACCGTTTCAGAGCGACTTCTTTTTTTTTTTGTGATTTCGGCGCGCGTTTTTTTTTCGGTGACAAAAAAAAAAAAAAATTTGGTCAATCCGATAATCGTACTTACGTTGCGCGCGTACATTTGTATTATACAACAGCTATTGCTGTTTTGTGATAATTAACATTGTTATCGTAGTAATAATAACAATAGCGATAAGACTACAGCTGCTGTAGACCGGTCGAATGTGCGGTCCGAAATGACGGTGGTAGCCGCCGCCGCGGTCATCGACGGTGCAGCGACAACAACCGGCGGCTGCTGCAGTTACTACCGGCAAAGGTCTACGTTGGTCCGCACCAGGTAGGTAATAAAAAACAAACCCGTGCACGGTTTTATTTTTATTTTCAGCACGTATAATTACCGAAAATTAGGGTTTGGAAATTAATTTTAAACCGATAAAAAATTCAATTAAAACAAGTTTCTATGGTCGTTTTTTGATTCAATTAGTAGATACTAATTGAAAAAAATCACAAAAAAAAAAACGGTATTGTACAAATTACCCAAACCCAAATGTTCAATAGTATAAAAAAAAAAAAGAGTTATAATCCTTTGAATATATCAACAATACGTCAAATATAACAATATATTGTATTTTATAACTCATTTAATAAGATATTCCTAATTTAGGGATAGGAAACATTTTCAAAAACTTATAAATGCGGTTAGGTTAACAAAGGTGGAACTATTTTTTTTTTTTTTTAATGAGATTTCATCTTTGATTATTACATTGTTTTGAAGTGATAAGAACCAAAAGATACAAGTAAAGTTTTTGTTTTCAAAAACAAGATTCGAAATAAATTTCATTTTGCTTTCCCGTAAGATTTTATAAAAATTATTTATACCTTTTTAGTTTTCGTCATATAATTGATTTACATGTTATTAAAAACTAGACGTAAGACGAATCGTATACGATATTGTATTAATATTTGCAACATTATTTGATGCAATTTAAATTATAGAGAAAAGACATATTTTTCCTTAGGCCAAATGTTAAATGATTAATGTTTTTTTTTAATATGATAGTATTATTGTAAATTTACCGACAACAGTGTGTGTTAACGGGTTCCGATTTCACGTCCTATGAAATATATTTTTTAAATTATGCAGACAGAAAATAAGACATTTTTTTTAAAGTTAGTTATCAATTAACATTTTTAGTTTACCCTAACAATTTCGACTATAAATTTTTCGCTTAATTAGCTGTGGAGGAACGAGAAAATAAATTAAATAAACGAGTAAACAAATCCAGTAAATAATTTGTGTTAACAACAAATCGAGTAAATAAATCCCATAAAAAAAAAAATAGTAAACAATGTTTAAGTAGGGCAGATTTTGATTTAACTCAAAAGTGTTACCAACATTTTGAACTGACCCCTAGCTATGAAACAAATTCATGTTAAAACTATTAAAAGCATTAATACCTAATTATATTTCTATAATAAAATAAATTGTCAATCTACAATCATCATTATAAAAAAATATACTTTAGCTGTGATCTGGGTAAAAAAACTTAGCAAAAAAGGTCATTGTATACTCATTTTGAATATTGAACGTATTTTGTTAGAAGGATATCAACTTTTGGTTTTCTAAGAACAACCTAATACGCATAAATAAAATACCAAAAATGTTTACTTGCTCATAACCGATTTTAAATAAGTATTTCATACGTTATAAGCATTTTAAAGTGAGTTCTACTTATTTGCTAGATTTATATCAATAGTTGTACATATAAACGGAGATGTGAGGGTGAAGCTTTATCCTAATTAAAATACTCGGTGTCGCATTTGTGAACTACACGTGCTTTGTATTAAGTAGGTAAATTTCCGAACAAATGAGTAAATCTGAAAATAATATTTTTATTTTGAGTTTGGCACATTTATTCGGAAAATGGATAGGTTTTTGGGTGTTATAAGTTTGTAACACAAGCTTTCTTTTGAAGAGGACCAACCGAACCGAACTATAGTTTAGTAATATGTTTTTGGGTTGGGATGTAAATACGTACAATGCTTTTGTGTCTAAACGAACTCGTACATAATGTGTGAAACTTTTAATTCGTATATAATAAATTCACATTTATAATTTACAGCTTGAAACTGTTTGATAGTATATTATATTTATTAGCCGTTAGGGGTGTGTAAGCTTTCGAATATTCGACCGTGATTTCATAAAATACTTTTAAGGGATAAAATATTTGAATTTTTCATTAAGTAATGAAGATTATCTAATTTATATAAAAATTGCATTTTCCTTCTATTTAATACATTTAGACAAGATCATTTTGTGTAGATATATACAACTTTTTTTTTTTTTGAGTCCACCTAAAAGGTTTTTTTTCATAATCTCCACGGTTTTGAATATTTTAGATATTTTTTTTATAAATTATATAACAAACCGCTTCTAGCGCCGCCCGCTTAAATTTGGCTGTCGAGTATTATTATGTTTTATTATGAAAGCGAAACGAGCGATTAGTAAATGATTATGCTAACAGAATAACAATATACCTTTTCAAATATTGAAATATCGCGTTTACATTAAATAAATATTACCCAATTCTTTATTATCAACTTACTAGGATAATGAACAGACACGTTAAATTATAATGCTATTGAATAATAATGCGTTTTTTGACAACGAAACATATCTTCAATATCTTTTTAAATTATTATTAATATTATTATCTTGTCTTGGTGTTTTTGTATTGTAAATAATAAACGGTTTTTTATCATTTTATTTTTTTTCCAACAGCTTTCTTGTTTTAATCAATAGTAGCCTATTAAAAAAAAAATTGCCCAACATTTCAGAACTCTAGCTCGACTTTAATTAATTCCTCATCATTTTTTTTCATTAGGTAACATGGGAAATTAAAATTTTTTAAGGGACAAAGGGGTTGAACCAATTTTTGATGTCGCAGTTTAGTAAATAATTGTCTACTATTTTTAATTTTTTACTGCCAAATCTCATGCTAAAAGGGGATTGGTCAGGCAGTAACCTTGTCTAGCGTCTGATCAGTTATTTTGTTATTATACAGATATGAGTTGCTATTGTTTAATAATAGTAAATGTTAATAATAAACAACGCGTGTTAATCGTGCTACACGCTAATTTTTTAGCTATCGTTTAATAATAATATATATTTTTTCTGTTTGTAGACGGATTGTTTTGTTTATTTATAACGACTCTGTTCGGTGATTTATAATACAAGTATTTGTGAATAATTATTATTAATTGCTGCGTTAGACTCTAACACTAGATACGTCTGAGCCTTGGTCCAGTGGTAACAGCATAATAATAATAATATAGTCTCTGCCAAAACTTTTAAAACACATTTTAGAAAAACTTTGACCGACAGCGGAAGACAATATTTGTACAATCTAATGAAATCGACTTTGTACTTTCACAACTGCCCAAATTACTTCTGATATATTTTAAGCAGTTCAAGTAGATCGATTGATATATTGAAAACTATTTTGGAATCATCAGCTCTTGTCTAAATATGATGAAACAAACAAACCGTTGGCGTGCACGTCATTCGAGTGTGACCCGTTTCACATTTAATGCACAATAAACGAATGCATTATTGCATTAGGTGCATTGTTGCACCTTTGATATCCTCAATTTTATTACATGTGTATTGAACTGTCTTTTGCATTTTAATCGTTTTATTTGTATTCGAATAACAACACTAAATAATGTGACGCGAACGTCTGATGATTTTATTTTTTTTTAGTCAGTTAATTTACTTTCAGTTTTTTTTGCCAAGTATTGCAAATTAAGCAAAAACGTATAAAGCAAGTATCTGTTTCAGTAATGACTATTTTAACATTAAATGTTTTCAAAGGTTAGGTTAGGATCTATGATATCATACCGGCTATCCCATAGAAATAAACAATACTTAATAAGTAGGTATAATAATAATAATAAGTTTACATTATGACAAGTTAATGACAAGTTGGTAACACTTATTATTTACCATCGAAATGTAAAGTATGTATGTTAGAGTTTTAGCTAAACGTTTTGGTGTATCGATTATTTGACCAGCTAATATATTTTTCGACTTTCTAAAATTAAAAAAAAAATGTAGCTTCAGTGATTCTGCGTATTTGTTAAATATAAATGTATTTTGTTAAGTTTATGTACATAAATGGTTATTGTGGTTATACATTTTGTTTAGTGTATACCAATTGAGTATTTTTAGTTTATACGAAAATTAAGATTTACACTATATTTTGTTATACTATTTACTTGGCCAAAGAAATAATATGTAAGAAACATTCCAAGAATTAGCTCAACTTAAAAACGTTTTAAAATAAACACTTAACAGTAATACAAACAAGAAATAAAAATGTTTTAAATGAAAATACTGGGTTCCTTTTAAGTATTATTGTTTGCAAAGTAAAAAATAGGTTCATGTGGGGTTATTGTAAATACATTCTTTGTATAGAAATACTTTACAATGATGTAACCATGTAATGTTTTACTTGGGAGGTCAAATACAAATTTAAATTGCATGTGTTTATTTGTATAAAAATTGTATAATTACTATTACCCTGCTCAATCCTATATTGTAGTATACTTAATATCAATTTTTTTTTTAAATGAATATCTGTTTTCTTATGTAGTTATCATTCTAATTTTTATATGCATGACATATAAGTCATAACGCATTGTACCTCGACCATTAAGAATGATAATTAAATAAATGGAAATACTTACACGTGACTTGTCATAGGTGGATTTAAACATTTTCCCCTTCAAGGCACGAATATGACTTCGGTTATTCCTACTTCTTAAGAATTGTTTTCTAAATTGCAAGAGATAATATTATGCCCCCACTTCACAAACTTGTTCAGTGGAGTCCATTATCTTCTTAAAGATATATATGAAAATAAATATGTGCTTTGCTTTTAGAAGTCCGATTTAACGTATTCCATGATACATACTATAATTCTATTGAGGTTGGATGATCTTGTATAAGTCATTTTACAAACAGTTTTAGGTCAGTTGTTTAGAAACACATTTCCTTCCTTTCTGTTTGTAGGGTTTGAAAAGAGCTCTATGAGTGATAAAAAAAACTAGCTGTTGTTCCACAACGTTCTGTTAGCATGGCTGTATCTGTATGTTCTTTTTATATACTTCGCCCCTTACAACCAATGGTTATGGTGATTCTTATGGTTTGTTTCTTGCTTGTCGCGAAAAATCCACTTTGCCAATCATTTCTAAACTAAAAAGTTTTCCAAACTGGGACACGAACGAAAAGCATTATGGTCAATTTGATTATGGTTGCACTCCGAAATAGTACGTGATC